TATTGAACTGTTCCTTTGACAAGACCGGCTTAGGAAGGAGGACAAGGAAATTTAGGTTGCACAGAAAAGGGAATTCATTTTAGACACTCAGTCTTTGACTGTTTAGATATCTGTTACCATGACAGAAAATGCCTGAGTTTAAGAGAATCCAGAGTTCTGAGATCTTGCCCCATCTGGTGGCATCACTATGTATCCCAGGCACCATTTTGAACAGAAAGCTGACATCTTTATTATGTTACTAACTAAAATTAAAAAAAATTAAACTATTATCTACAAAATGTAATCATTAAAAAGAGGGAGGAGGCTTGGAAAAGTATGTTATAAATAAAATTCTTCCCTGCCTTAACATTGCTTGACTTTTTGCTCCTTTGTAGAGAAAAAAATAGTAAAGAAATGTTGACAGCCCCATATTGACAGTCCCTTTACTGCAAATCACCTACACATTTCTCCTTCTGCATGATATAATAATTCTTTTAACTAGCCCTGCACCTCCTCAAAGTTCACAATTCTTAATGATATAAATTTGGACTTGATAAAACCCAAACGCTGATGATAAAGCAAAGTGCGTATCCACTGTTAACATCCAATTGCATTAACAATTCTACTGTCAGCCTGAAGCCCAGTAATAAAAATACAAATCTTGTGTGATCGCTGAGATGAAGTTGCCAAAATCTTGAATTCAGTTTCTCTTACTTTGAATGCCTAGCTCTTAAAGTGGTAGTTTTCATTTGTGAGTTCTGACAGTATGCCAGAGCAAATCTCAAGCCAGACACATTTTATTTTTATTTGGTAAATTTCTACACTGCCCATTTCACCTGTGACATTACACTTACTACATTCTTTGAAATATACAATTCTTATCCAAACCTGTTTACAGAAATTCTAGCATGTTTTGAAACCTGCCCAGAAAAAGCTTACAATATTTTTTATCCATTATCGAAACAGTATTTTATATTATGGTGTAGGTCTAGTTCTTTCTATTTGGGAAAAAGCAAATTAAACCATTTATCTGAGTAGTACAACTTCATGAGCAAGTGGTTTTTCAATCACAAGATGGTTAACTCTGTTCCTAAAAAGGCAAGGTTTGAAGGTTCCTGCACTGATAAGCTAAGATGAGCTTACAAACTGTACTGAGCCAGGAAACAAACTACATTATGCATGAGTCAGGTCTGCTGGAAAAACTAGGGCAATTATTTCTTCCAGATCCAGTTGATTTTGCACCTGAACATTGGAACTGTGTAAAATGACAGAAAACACAAACAATTGCATACTTTCCTATCCCAGAAAATATAGTGGGCCCATGAGGTCTGTGGCAGGCTACCAGAACCTATGCATAAGTAGTGGAAGAGCTGAGGGGCTGAATGGCCAAGTTTCATTTCTGGAACAGCATTTTCGAATCAGGGTCACCTCAGATAGCCAGACTTGAATACCTGGAAATTCTTAACCAGCATGGCCATGACTGAAAATCTGAGGAATTTTAGAATGATGTCAATTATGGATCAAAATATGCTGTGGTTTGTTTTTGCAAAAAATGTCCATTAAATTGTTTGTCAAATAAAACATGGTTTTGCTGCAAAAGACCACACTATGCCAATTGCATAATTACACATATGAAATTATTGCCCTTAAATGACAGCATTTTGGATATAATAGATCTTTAGATTTAATGGCAACCACGTCCCCTGTATGCTCTCTTCAATCAAGGTTTTAGGGATCTAAGATCTGGTCCTTTCATTAATTACCACAACAAGCAGAATTTTTTATAACATGAGCAATACATTGTATTTAAAACTGGCTAGTTGAAACATGAAGCTCAAAATGATTTTTGTATCCCAGGCATAAGAAAATAGTTTAATTTAGTATGAGTCCCATTCTCCCTTGTTTTTCATTCTACTCTCACAAGAGTAAATGGGTGGCAGTGAAGGATATCACAAGTGAACAAACTTGACAAAAATTAGCCAAAGATATCATTTTTAAAAAACTTTTTTTTAAAAAAATCCCCCATAGGGTAGATCTGAAACAGTCAGAATTGGAATCCCAACACACCTTGGCATTCTTAGCAAAGAATCAATGTTCAGCTGAACCCAAAGGAACTTCAGCAATACAGAGAGGGAAACAAGAGTGAACTCTCAGATACTATTTTTGTACTAGTATCTACTTAGCAATGAACAGACTCTTAGCCATTTAACAGCAGCAAGTGTATTGAATTCTTGAGAAGAACAAAGGAAGCATGACAAGTCAATACAAAATGATATTCTTCACCATGGGTTATTTTTGTTGTTTACAATTATTTTAAAAAATAATTGTAAACAACAAAAATAACCCATGGTGAAGAATATCATTTTGTATTGTCATGCTTCCTTTGTTCTTCTCAAGAATTCAATACACTTGCTGCTGTTAAATGGCTAAGAGTCTGTTCATTGCTAAGTAGATACTAGTACAAAAATAGTATCTGAGAGTTCACTCTTGTTTCCCTCTCTGTATTGCTGAAGTTCCTTTGGGTTCAGCTGAACATTGATTCTTTGCTAAGAATGCCAAGGTGTGTTGGGATTCCAATTCTGACTGTTTCAGATCTACCCTATGGGGGATTTTTTTAAAAAAAAGTATTTCAAAAATGATA